TGATGGAAAATATTATTTTAATGAAGAATGTGTGGTTGAAAATGAGTAGAAGAATGAAAATGAAAANTGGTTGGAAATGAGTAGAAGAATGAAAATGAAAATTTTAATGGGTACCAAACACACCCTTAGGGTGTGTCACGTTAAGCTTTCCCGCCTTTTTTGGGCCTAAGTTGATTTTGAGCTCTCCATTTGGAAGAAGAAATTTAGCTGTAATAATTTGAGCTCTAATAGTTGTGAATTGTGGGACTGAGAAAGCTGGCAATGGACTACGAGCCTTACAACAGCAGCAGTGAATTTTTTTTTTTTTCATTGAAAACATCTGATTTTTACTTCTAAAAGAGATTTTTTTGTGGTAAATTAGGCTAGATTTTGTAATGCAATAACGTTTGTTGTTGTATTTGTGGGACTTTGGCGACTAGGGTTAATAGTGAGTGTAAATTCAGGGGATTGGATTCTTTTGTACTGAGATATTCCGAGTTTCCTTTATAGCTTGGTGTGGTTGAATTTCGAAAGTGTTTCTCTTTGATATCCCGAGTGGTTTGTGTTTTTGATGAGAGCTGGGAGGCATAGAATTTTTTGTCTGAATTGTTATGTTGTTTTTGTTGGCTATTTTGTGTGGGGTTAGTAATGCTACATAAACTGACGTGGTTTGAAGGGAGATAGTGGAAATCATCTTTTGCTAGCTTGATGAAACTTTTGTTGTCTAGAATAAAGTTACTGAATTTCATTAGTATTTGTTTGTTTAGAAAAGGTGGAAAGTGGTACATTACATTGGATACGATTTTGTAAAGAGTAATGTTATTCATCCCTAGTGTGGATGAAAACGTAGTCTATATGACTTTAAATGATAGGTTAAATGAAAGGTGAAATTAAATGATTTATTTAATTTCACCTATCATTTAATACCACATTGATGCCACGTAGACTGTATTTTCATCTCCAGTGGGGATGAATAGCATTACTTTTTTGTAAAATTTGAAATAATTAGAATATTTGGATTATCACTAGGGATAGCAACGGGGCGGGTTCGGGGCCCCTATCCCTCGCCGCGCCGCTCTTTGCCCCGCCCTGCCATTCCCCTGCAGGACCGTTTCCCTGCCCCGTTTATTTTTTTTACTTTAAAAAATTTCCAATTATACGGTTAAAGAAAAAGATCACTCTACTTCCAAAAAATTTGTTCATCAAATTTAAGAATATAAATCCATAACTCTACTTCCAAA